CTGCACCAGTAATAAAAATCAATCCAAATAGATCTTACGAGTACATATGTTTTGTAATATTACACTTATTAAACTATCTAAAATCATAACCTTTATCTTTGTGAATAAATGCTTTGTTGATTTTGAAGATTTGAAAAATGTATCGTCGTCATTTTTTAAATTTGGTTTTTCTTATATACTCGGTCGGCGGTCTTAAGGCCTACTATAGGCATACCATAGGCCTTATTATACTCCTCTTCTTCGTGTGCAGTTTTTTTTAAATAATCTATTTTATATCACTTTTAAAACGTTATAAATGTAAATAAATCTTACGCTTTTATTACTAAAGTACTAATGTCGTAGTCTGAAAACGACCTGGTTTCAGCTGTCCAAACAGTGCAAAGACAAACTGCGTCGGAGAATTTTGGAATGAAGGCTTTTACATCAGAAGCTATTAAATTTTGTGTAAATCATTGGTCCTGTGCCTAAGCTTTCCCGGACCGTGTCGGATTGCGATTTGATGATTTGTGAGGGAATAGAAAGTACACTTGTACTTGCGCATGCATTAACAACTTTAAGTGGCAAGGCGAGGAAATTTATATTTTTTTAGAATTTTGATCAATGATCACAAACATGAAATATACTACGTATAGTTTGATTATTTGAGTTCGTTAAAGCAATAGGCCTTATTACCCTACCATAGTAAAATAAGGCCTACTAGCAAGGTTTTTATAAATGTATAATTTAGTTTTTAGTTATAATTTAGTTTCTTTATGGTAAAATGTCACAATTTTACGTTCATAAATTACAGAAACTGTACTAAGCCAATGATTTTTATTGAAATCTTTGGACCAAATTGGATATTTTTCACTTTTTTTTTTCGAATTTCCCTTGGCTAGACATTATTACCCGCAAGTGCTATGTATGAAAATGTACGGTTTAATATTTTTTCTCGTTATGTTAGTCATATTTTGAACTAAATTTATTAAAAATGAATAAACCAAACTACAGATATTCCTAAATGTAATTTTGTTTAAAGAAGAGTTACATAAATATTGTGAAAATCATTAAGGAACCAACCACTGAGGCATTGTTTTGTATATTTATATAATACTCTGGAAAGCGAAAAATTTTGCATAACACACATCTTGTTAATTAATTTATTAGTTGTGTATCAAAAAACTTCACCTCACTTCCAACTAGCGACATCTAGTGAATGAAAGATTGGTTTGATTTAGTTAGATTAGTAGCGGCAGATTCTAGGAAGCGGCTTTTTAAGGATGAAATGCAAAAATCCTAAAATGTCTAAAAATTATTTTGTTATTGAATAACTACTTATTTTTTAGATACTCGCAATACTGCGAATATCTAACTTTTAAGGCCCCGGTCTTGTAAAAGTTTGTTTCTCGCAAAATTTACAGCAAAACAAATATTTTTTTATGGTATTTAAAAAAGAAAAAGTAAAACATATTTTACATTTATTAAAAGTGTAGGATTTGATATTTTGGAAACTGTTTCTTTTGTTTGAATTTTTTATCGATTGCCTTCTAAATTACTTCTCTATACGATTTTTCTTAAAAAAAAAAACAGGTGTAAGCGCTATTTGTATCTTCAGTTTGTATAAAAAAATCATATACATCCGATTAGACGGGAGGTGTTGGAATCATGGAGATGAACCACATTTCATACAAAAAAAATTTAAATAAAAAAATTGACTGATTCATTATACAAAATGTATAAGGTAGAGTCGAAATTTCAATGAATGAAAAACGAAGCAGTACTTTTTTTCTTCGGTTGTATTTACCCTTTTTAAACCTACAACCCGTATAAATATGAGTAAAAACGACATTTATGAAATATAAAAGGGTAAAAAATTATACTACCACAACAAAAGTAAAAGGAATATTTTTGGAAAAAAAATTAATAAGTTATATATTTAATGAAATAGAGCAACTTCACGTGCGATCTCGAACGTATTTATGCACGGGGGAGAGCGCCCCCTCTAATGGCTGGAAATGTAAAACAGCACAGCTAGACGGAAGCCTTAAGATAATCGTGATCGACATTTAAGTATAAAAGATTTTTATAAATGTTTGTTTATGTCCAAATAGGTAAACGACCACTGAACTTAATAGAGGACAGTCTTTTCAATATTACACAGAGAAAATTTTATTTTATTTCTATGTATTAATTACGATCACTTTAGAATTGCAAGTTCTAAAAAAAGATTAAAACACGTACTTGCCAAGGTAGGCATAAGTAAAAATATTGTTTTATTCATTTTTAAATAATATACGTAGACTATAAAGGAAAAGGACTTTTACCAATTATAATAATATTATAACAAGATAATAATAATAAAATATAATTTTAATTCTATAAGGTACTTTAAAAATAAGGGGTGGCGGCGGGGGCGGCTTTTTAGCTCTAGTTCTTGTACCATTATTTATTCTGTGGCTCCATCGGCTCCCCGTGGCAGTTGTGCTATAATGGCAGCGTTCTATTACTATTTAATAAAGACCATATAGTATAGGGCAATGATAGCGGGCCTATGATCCCCGGGTCAGTCAGACGCTGACCCACGCAGGCTTTTTAAAGCATTAATTTTATAAAATTGTGTTTATTATGTATATATGCTATGCTACATTTACATAATGCAAAAACTTTCTTATTCATTCGAATACTAACGAATGTATTTTGGCGACAGTAGCCTAATGGCAGGGCGCGGACCGCGAACTCAAAAGGTCGTGGGTTCTAATCCGCCATTTGACTAGATATGTTAATTAATAAGATTACTAATATTTTATTTAAAAAAAACCTATTCTCCCCTATCATTTTCTAAAGGACGCCACTAACTGAGTGATCCATGAACTTGTAGTAAAGAAAGAATTAACAAATTTTGAGCCATTTCTCAAAAGTTTCGCCTTTGCTATAGGATTAACTGTGCTCTTTTGTTATCCTTACGTTTACAAAAAATTATAAAAGTGAAAATGCTTTGGTTGGGAACCGTACACGTACAAATAAAATAAATTTATTTAATATATAACGGATTTTTTGGTTTCGTTGGGTACATCCTTCACCTATTCAATTTCTAAATGTGTACATTATCCATCCCATGTCTCGCGACTACAGTAACTCATACGTCCCTCTGGGAATTCGAGTGAATGTGATAACAAAATATCCTCAGTCATATCTCAATTTGCTAGTTTTACTCAACAACCCCCCGACGAAAAAGAGGGGTGTTATAAGTTTGACCCCTATATGTGTGTCTCAGCTTTTTTAATTTCGAAGATTTTTAAAATTTTCAATTTAACTTATTTTATCGCGTTTGATTATTACTTTTTCTAATTCCTAACTTCTCTAGTGCTTTACGGCATCCATCCTTACAGGGATCGGGAAGAAGAAAATAAGTTTAAATAACACGTTAATTTTAAAACTGACAACAGTACATACAATCCGTAATACAACTTACTGTTGTATTACGGTTTCAACGGTACGTTAAGGACCTAGAATACAGCCAATAAGGCAAGTAGTAAATTGTATTAAACTTGTTTATAAAGTTAAATACGAATATGTAACCTTATTTGTTTTGACTTGGTTTCAAGTGTTCAGTTGCCGCAAAAGCAATTTATTGCTAAGTAACTTCAACTTCGTTTTTTGAATTGTGATGAAGGATAAAAAGTTGGACAAACATGCGTGTCTGGAAAATCAAAATATAATAAAAATATAAGGAAAGTTTAGAAGTTTAGTTTTAAAAGAAAATTAAGAAAGTTTTTAGTTCGCCAACGCGCTGTATTTACTACGCCTCCTTGCTTTAAAACTAGACTTGCAACTATTCGGCCACGCGCCGAATACAGAATATTTTGCGGGCTTGCTGGCCGAATAGCCGAATAATAGGCAAAAGTATTTAGCCGGAAAGGAAGAAATTCAGAGGAAGGAGGAGAGGAAGGAATTCAGAGCGTCTTTTCTCTGTACCTGGGATTGTATACGAGAAGAAAAGGAGTAAACTACTGCTTGAAAATGCAGAAAAATTAGTCGTTCTGCACCCATAACCTTCCACTTTTAAATTTTAATTACGATAATTTTAATTTTATACGTGGTAGAGCCACGCTGCAGCTATATTAGAATTGTATTGTAGTATTGTAGCACGAATGGGTCTGCTCGACCGAGGAAGGACCACGCTCTCACAGAATACCAGCGTAAAATAGCAGCGTCATACTGCTGTGTTTCGTATGGTAAGTGTAGTGATCCGGAGATCTTTTTTGCTGGAAATAAGGCATTCCTTCTTAGTCCTCAGGGGTGACAACGCATCTGCGTTTTAATTCTTAATCGAGAATGAATGTAGATGTCTAAGGACCACAGCATCCACTATCCATCAGGTGGATTGTGTGCTCGTTTGTCACATTTATTCTTTAAAAAAAAACTTCAAAAGAAGATGTTCATGTACCTATGATAACTTAAATGACTACAAGAAAAGTACATTATTTTAAAATAAATCAATATTTTAAATTTATCAATTATCTGACCAATAGGATAAAAGTAGTCGAATAGGTCGAGTACCGAATAATAGCCGAATATTGAGGTAAAAGGACGTTTAATAGCGCGATGCTGGCAACTTTATTTTTTTGACCATGATAGAAATTTTTATGATTTTTTTAATATAATAAGATGACTAACGAGCACACAGTCCACCTGATGCTAAGTTGTTGCTGTGGCTCGTAGACATCTACATCTATCCTCGAAAAGGGTATCCGGTTCTCTACACTCACCATACGAAACATTAAGCTGCTATTTTACGCTGGTATTCCGTGAGAGCGTGGTCCTTCCCCGGTCGAGTCGACCCATTCGTGCTACAATTAATACTACTAATATAACTGCAGCATGGTTCTACTTCTAATAATAGAGTTAATACATAGTTTATTTAATCAATACAAAATAGCAATATATCCTACTTTTTATTGCAGACAATGTCCCGAAGGAGACTGTTAATTGGAAGCGCGGCGGGAGCCGCGGGGGCTGTGATGGCTGCCTGGGCCCTCGCTGCCGACGACTCGCTTCCAGTAAGTAACACCGTAACCAATACTGCAGTTAGTTATATAAATATAATACAATTTAAACAGAAACAGAAACTTTTTATTCAATGTAGATTATAAACAATACTTATTGAAAGTCACTTTTCATTTACCACTGGTTCGCAAAAAAACCTCTGTCCTGGGAAGAACCAGCAAGAAACCCAGCGGGACTATTTTTTTTCAATAATAGCTTACAATCATGTTTACAATTAACAACACAAGACAAGTTAGAAATAGCTTGGTAGCGATCACTTTTCAATTTATTACACAGCAGCAATTCGTTTTTCATTTTTAAGTCCGACACTACAGTCTAAATCGGTTTACAATTAATCAAAGTTTTGCAGCGTGGTAGAGTCATGCCGCAGCTACATTGTGGTTATAGCACGAATGTATTGGCTCAACCAGGGAAACACCACAATCTTACATCTTACCAGTGTAAAATAGTAGCGTAATGATGCTGTGTCTCGTGTGTTGAGTGCAGAGAACTGGAGACATTTTTTACTGGAATCGAGGCATTCCATCTTAGTCCTCAGGAGTGACTAACAACTGCATTCTGATTCATAATCGGGGATAGATTTAGGTGTCTATGGGCCACATTAAAGTCAAAATTAAAGTTACAGCCTATATACGTCCCACTGCTGGGCTCAGGCCTCCCCCTCATTTCTGAGAGGTTTGACGAACTTCACATGTCTTCGAAATATTTTTTTTCTTATTCCTCAGACATGCAGGTTTCCTCACGATGTTTTCCTTCACCGCCGAGCACGTGGTAAATCATCACTTAAAATTGCAATTAACAATTTCATTGGTGCCGGCGGGGATCGAACCCGGGTTACTCGCGTTCTGTTATATTTACAACGAGCGTTAACCACTGAGCTACCACGGCTCTTGGCCACATTAATCAAATTAATTAATAGCGTAATGTGCTACTAAATTACTAATGTACGCGAGCCATATGCCTCGCGGTGCAGTAACAGGAACGCTGGCTGCGCTTTCTAGTTGAATGGCTATACTAAGCCTTTGGGCGATAAAAGAACTTGTCCCCTTGCCATCAACAGCGACGACCAGTTGCGAAATTTATTAACTACATATAAAGCATTATCACACAGCGATGGCCACGCGCAGTTATTAACATTAAAAGATAGAATTATAAAAAAAAAAGAGATATAAATTTAAACATAAGAAAAACGCTACGACTGTAGAGCACAAGACAATGTCACTAGAACACAGGGCAGGGCCCAAAAAAGGCCTGCTTCGGCTCGTTCGTTTAGATTTAGAGGACACGGGGCCAACGAGTAGGGACGAGTGACAAGAATACGCAGCACCAGCAAAGTCCTCCGAAGCTGCAACTCGCACTCAAAGGGTTGACCTAAGCAAGTCTCTTTTAAAGGTCGCCTCTTCTTATTAAACTTGACAATCGTAGAACAAATAATTATATAAAAAGGAGACAATCCATTTTTGTATGGAGAATGAGCCCACCACAAACTTTAGCGGCTATCAATAAAATGCATGTCGATTTATTCCTTATAATATATAGATTACAATAGTACTCGTAATATTAATTTTACCGTACCTTAACGAGAATACTGAGAAATTAACAATTAAAATATGAATAACACAATAACCTAAAAACAACACTAAAAGCAATTGTCTAGTACGTTTCACTGGTGTTATAAGTTAAAATAGTGCACTGTTTAATAATTATAGTATAAAACGAAGTTGCAGGTACATTCAGCAATTATAGGTACTTTAAGATTGATAGAAAATTCTTTGTTGTTCCAACAAAAGATAGAGACTTACGCCTTTATAGAGATACGATCAGATATAATTACCCCACCGCATTAAAATCAAATACTTATAAATGTATCCCTATATATAATAAACATTTATTTTGCTGTCCGTTGGTCTCGTAAAAACTCGATAATGCCTCGACCAACTTTGATGAATTTTTTGTGAGTACTCGTATATGTGTGGGTCTCTGGATGGTTTAAAAATTTAATTGCACCTGGTAGGTGGCGCTGTTGTCGATGTCAAAAAACCACCCGTGCAAAGCCGCGGCGGATCGCTAGTAATAAATAAAAACTAATAGATCGAGACCAAAAAGATTTATATAAACAAATTATTTTTAAATAAAGCTAAAGAAATAATAGTTACTTGTAAACGAGAGAATTTGCTTGTCAAAGCTATAAAACAGAATTAAAATGTAGAGAAGGTACGGATAACATCACCAATTTCAATAATGCTGTGTATACATTTTCTTTACACAAAAAAATTAGTACGTAAACCCTCGTTAACACGAACACGAAAAAATCAGACAAATAGTTCGTGTTACAGGGGAGTTCGTGTAATCCGAACAATGCAAAAAATTAATTCGTGTTTCTAAACTCAGTATTATGATTCATCATAGAAACATTTTTATTAATAACTTTGATATTATTATTATATATTTACAATAATTTCTTATTATAAATTTTTTAACTTAACATATTATCCGATTTTGACTGTTTTTATTTGTTCATAAAATACATTTCGATATTGTTTTGGAGATAAGTTGGTCGGAGTTTGCGTGCACATTCGAAGTTGATCGTTTCCAGTCCATCTGAAAATGCGTCTGAAACGTTGTTCGTCGCTGCATAGCGAAGAAAAATATCGAGTGCATCTCTGACCTCCTTCGACGTTGGTGGGGTGACTTCTTCGATATCGCTCTCATCACTGGACTTTTTGTGCCACAAATTTTTTGTGAAGAAATTCGGTGCCGCTGTTGATAGAAAATTCTTTGTTGTTCCAACAAAAGATAGAGACTTACGCCTTTATAGAGATACGATCAGATATAATTACCCCACCGCATTAAAATCAAATACTTATAAATGTATCCCTATATATAATAAACATATATTTTGCTGTCCGTTGGTCTGCGTACACATTCGAAGTTGATCGTTTCCAGTCCATCTGAAAATGCGTCTGAAACGTTGTTCGTCGCTGCATAGCGAAGAAAATTATAACATAACCATCCATTCGAACATTTAAAGTCACTGATTCCCAAATCTTCAGCAATTTGAGTGGCTTTTCTATCACAAGAGGTCCGCTCAATGGTATGTTTTCTGACCGCATATGATTGAACCATGCCAATAGTCGCGATTCTATGTCTTCGTAGGTAGCTGTACGTAAACGTTTCGAACGACTGTTGGTACTTCCAGAAGCGATAGCTTCCTCTATCTTTTCTCTATTTTTCAGAATGGTAGACAAAGTAGATTTTGGAATTTGGAACTTCTCGGCTACGGCAGTTTTCGACAAGACACCGCGATCAACTTCAGTCAAAATTTCGTACTTAGTTTGCACGTTAAGAGAAGTCTGCTTTCGCTTAGACATCTTGAAGAACTGAAGAGTGTTCATCAGACATCAGTTTATATGTACACTTCTCAACAAAGCCAAATTGTTAAAAAGCCTTTACTTTTGTTAATTAGTTTTCAAAAGTTTACAACCTTTTCAATAGCTTTTGTAAGACGGAAAGAAAATTTGAGGTATTGTTTCTATTTTTAGGTACTCGAGTGAATGTTTGATATCCTAATTCTTTGTCTATTTTTAGAAACTCGAGTTAACGACTTTTCTAATCTCTTCAGCCATTGTTTACCGGTATTTTTATTGACCGAAAAAGGAAAAAAATATACAAAATACATGATTTGGGAATTTTTATAGCTCGTATTATCCGATAATTAACCGTGAAGTGACGAAAAAGTTGTTCGAAGTTCGGATTAACGAGGGTTCGTCTTAACCGAACATAATTACATTGAAGCTTGTGGAACTATTGTCTAGAGCAATTTTTTGTTCGCCTTAAACCAAAATTCATGTTAACCGTGTTCGCATTAACGAGAGTTTACTGTAATTTAATTTCAGTACTTCAGTGTCATTGAAGCTTAGCTTAATGGTGCTGTGTTTCGTATGGTGAGTGTAGAGAACTGGAGACCCTAATTACTGGAAACGAGGCATTCCATCTTAGTCCTCACGGGTGACAACACATCTGCATTTTGATTTGTAATCGAGGACAGATGTAGATGTCTATGAGCCACTGCTACCATTTACCATCAGGTGATTTGTGTGCTCGTTTGTCATCCTATCCTATAAAAAAAACACTAAGTTTAATAAGTTTGATCTTAATCGGATCGAAGTCAACAAAAGGACCGCGCGAAGAAATAGAGCATGGCACTGAAGTACTGAAATTATAATAGAAATTTCTTACTTCTCTATTTTAACTTTCTCTTCATAAAATTTTCGCCACACCACAGATGAAATTGCTGCAGAAGAAGGTGCACGTGTACTGTAAGCAGTTAATTTTTTTACGGGTTACGGTTTAAATAAATGTTTTTTCTATTGCGTCTCTATATTCTGTCTAGTCTGTTTAGTTGGAATATCAACCCACACATTTTCTAAAGTTTCAGAGATCTTGTTTGTTATCGTCGGTGTTTGTACTGGTATCATCGTAGTCATTTGAGTCGTTATTGTTTCATTACTGAAATATATTATCATTTCAGGCATTGTCAGTACTGTTGTCGTTGGTAGGCTTATTTGAGTTTGGATTACAAGAACATCATATAACGATACTTAGGAACCAATATCCAAATAACTTCCTGACAAATGCAATGTTGAAATTTTGTTATCGATTAACGATTCTGATGCATCGGTAGATGAATAAATAGTTACCACAACATCGTGAGTTAGAATATTTTTATCTTGATCTTTGTTGCACAGACTTTTTGGAGACTTAAATGGACTTAGCGGTCTTATATTGCTTAATTGGAGAATTTCCAAGTCTTCGTTGGCCTGTCTGTGTGTAACAATATTCATCTGAGAAGACTTTCGTTTCAATATTTTTATGTTTTTTTTTATGCCTAAGTTGATTTAAAATGTTTCTAAACTTTTCTAGTGGAAACTAGATCTGCGTTAGTTATGTATTTAGAAATATTTATTCTTTCTTTCAATTAGCACATATTATC